TTGCTCCTTTTTCTCTGTAACTCTGTTCGCAGACAAGATACAGTATTCCAAATAATACCGTTTTGTAGTACTCGTGGAGCTCTATCATACCTGATTAATTTGGTTCGAAAACATTGATTCTGAAAGAAGTTATGGCAGGGCCCGGCAAAGGCCCGGATTACAAGTATGCTTTTTATGGAAGATATCAAAAAGTGGTCAATTAACAAAATGTGTATGATAACATTATTTACATTTTATCAGTTTATCACTTTTTGATATCACTCACACGAACAGAGATAAATTAGGTCAAAGTTAAAATGAGCTTTTATTACAGGTGTGGTTGAAAATCAACATCAACAAAAGTTATCACTGTTCCAAAACGTCCAATTATTATATTTTCTACTCTCATGTCAAGAACTATCAGTAGTAAAATCTGCTCAGGTTCTTTGTAATATACTTTGTTGTTTCAAATTTTTCATAACTAAACTGTCAAATTCAGAATCTCTGAATCTGAAAATTACTTATGCTCACCTGATATACTCCGTTGTTTTTTCATTCCTTCGATAATAAAACCATGACAAATGAAACCAGTTGACTCCGCCCAAAACTGGAATGATAAACCAGAAAATGAGGTATTTGCCAGAGAAATATCGAAGTCTTCCTTTTCTGAAATATTTTTTGTAAAATTTAATGTGTAATGGAACTAAAAACATTCAATAAAATATATAGACCCATTGAAACCATACCTCTCCAATGCAAAAAATCGATAAATGAAATGAATAGCAATCAGGAACGGTGTGACACCTCCACATCCACATAGGACACCTAAAATTCTAAACATTTCAGGCAAACTATTAAAATTCAACTACTTATTGCAATTTGAGCCGAATCCTCGGAAAACGGCCAGTCCTTTGTGCTCATTATCATGAAGAAGCAGTTTCCATGGCTGTGAATGAACTGGAAATTGAAATTTTGGATTTTTCAGAAAAGAAAAATTTAAAAATCCTCAGAGGATTGGATAACTTATTCCAACCAACCCTGTATCAGATAAAGAAAATTTTGATACCAAAACATTTTTTTCGGTTTCATTTAGTTCGTGTTATTGTTGAAACGAAATTTTGAAATTTCGTTTCAAACATGAATTCTCATTCGAAAAAAAATTCAAATCTAGATCAGAAAACGGCTTCATGATTTTATCATAGACAGAATGATAAAATAAAACAAGTCAAAAAAAGAAATTAATGAGAATTCGATATAACAGACAGATTGCTTTGTAGGAAATTTTTTGAAATTTTTTGAATATTTTGAAAGAGTAACTTTTTCAAATTCTCAAATTTTCATGAGATTTTTTGTTACTGTCTGATCTACGCAGTCGCAGGCTGCCGACTAAATGTAAAGGTTACTGTAGCCGCATGTGAATTTGTGAAAGAACACTCTAATTTTTCTTATCACTCACTGGTCTGACAATCATATCAATGACTGCGAAAAGCATTGAAAACGTTGAGAAATAAATCATCAACGCTTTATAATTCCCCATTTTCTTCGGCGACTTTGTGATTATCAGGTAGATCAAAATGGAATTGAACAGAATGGCAAAAAATAAAGAAGAGCACTGGAGAAGGAGATTCAGTTCGTTGGAAATCTTCATGATGAGTCTAGAACGATATTTTTGATTTAACAATTAGATTAGAGAAATAAAAATTATGTTATTGAAAAGATTCTAAAAAATATGGGCACAATGAAATAGGAGATTTTGTATATCAGAAAATTGTTTGAAAAGGGTGAACATTAAAATTGTATCAAATTAATGGAAATCTAAAGTTTTCTATGAAACATGTCAAAACAGTAATTTTTTGTCAACTTTTTTCGGGGAAACAAAAAAAAGTTTCAAGAAATAATCCAGTTAAAAAAGACTCTCAAAGATTTGAACTTTTGGACAAAACAGCAGAGGCGCCGCGCAGCTACCGACTGAGCTACGCGGTCGCATATATAAGGGGTACGGTAGGAATACTGTTCTTCGTACACCATGACGCAAAAAAGCATACTTGAAAATTTTCGGTTAATGAAAATTCCTTTTTGTACTCGGAAAACGAAAAAATCAGAAAACAAACTAAAATCTCACATATTATTTTCTTTTTTTTTGCTGATACGTCATGAAGAAGATGAAAGTTTATAATTTGGCTCATTAGCAAAATGCTCCAGACCAAAAAATATGTTTTTTTTGAAAAAAAGACATCATTTTTTAAGATAACGAATTAGAGGGTCAAAATGAGGTCTTTGTTTTGAAAATTCAGAAAACTATTTTTTAGTCATTTTGCAACCTGACGTTCTAGAGCCTTGATCAAAAACATTTTTTCAAACAAAAAAAAATAAAAATTTATGTTTCAAAAGATTCATAATTTCATAAATTCAGTCAAGATTCTGAGAAATTCGATATTTCAGTCGTTTATGAAATTCAGTATAATTTTTTCCAATAAATCTAACTTTACGATTTACCAGTGAAAATTCGCGGCTACGCCGCGATTTCCACTGGCCCAGTACACCATAGACATGAAGCGCTCGGTAGTCCATGGCTACATACAACACACTATTATAGGAGCCCCATGCCCTTTGGAGTTATTCAAGTAAATGTCCGAGACGGACACACAGACACACACACAGAAAAGTTTCCTTAGTAAGAAGTAGATGAGAAAAGAAGAGAAATCTATGATCACAAACAATACATGAAAGCAAAGAAAATCGGAAGGAAGCTCTTAGATAATTACAACGTCTACATATGAAAAGGGAAGACGAAAAGAAGGAAAAAACTGACAGAAAATCAGAAAATATGTGAATCATAAGCTAACTACAAAAATTCGGAAAAAAGAAGATTTCAAGGGAAGAGAAAACATATTTTTGAAGTATAGTAGGTGGGACTCTTGGAGGTTTGGCGAATAACATTTGGAATTTTATTTTACTAAACTCAAAAATTTATCGAAACAGAAAAAAAGTTGAAAAATATCATTAATCTAGAAAAGTTTTCCAGAATTTTCCAGAATTCAATAGGTTCATCTTTCCCATTTTTTTGATGGATTACTCTATTTTTCCACTTTTTTACTCATGTTTTTCCTCTTCAATTTGTTCTTCTATTCATAAAAAAGATTATACTTTTTTCTGGACTTTTTTTTGGCTTTTTAATCTCTTTTTTTCGAAAAAATTGATGATTCAGATTGATCAAAAAAACATCTTGAAAAAACGTAAAATTTTCTAAAAAAAGCAACATTCAATTTTAATGAAATTTAAAAAAAAAATTCCACCAGTTTCAGAAATTAAAATTATAAAAAAAGTTTGAGAAAAAATAAAATTGCTGTTTCAAAATGTCCAAAAAATAATTTCTTTAATTGTTAAAAAATAATCGTAGGATACTGCAAAAAAATAGTCAAAATTTTAAATTTTGAAAAAAATCAAATTTTGAAAAAAAAATGAAAAATTAATGAAATTGTTTCAATTTGTCCAAAAAATACTTTCCTAATTGTCAAGAAATAATGATTTTGACAAGACCATATCCGACTTTAATAACGTTCGAAGAAAGTGAAACTTATAAATTTTATGATTTTAAAGGTGATTTTCAGAGGATTTTCGGAGGCAGAGTATGCATTCTACCGTAACGGTGTACAACGCTTAATGTCACTCTGCGTACAGCGGTCGCCCTCATCCTTATGTTTACCATCGGGGTGTGCGCTCTCGTTTCGCCCGCGTGGCTCAGTCGGTAGCGGCGCTGTACCCCTGATCTGCCTGTCATGAGTTCAACTCCTCGAGGGGCACATTAAACGAAATTTCGAGAACATTTTTTTCATGTCTCCCAACCTTCAAAACCCACAATCAATTTAAAAAAAATAAAATTTTAAAAAATGCGGAAAATGTTTTTGAAAAAATATTGCAAATTGCCAATTAAACATTTTTTTAACATTATCTCATTAGGCGACCAAGACTAATTTTAATAAAATATCAAAAAATTGAAACACTAAATTAATACAATTAATTTTTAAAAAATTCGATTTTTCAATGTTTCAAAAGTATTGTATCAGAATCATAAATTCTCGTTTCTTAATCAATTCCAGTTTTCACAATATTCAAAAAATAAAAGTATTAAAAAAATAATTTTCTGACCGGAATTTTCCATAACTTTATTTTTCAAGGTCCATATTTTTTTCAAAACTATTTTTTCAATGTTCGAAACACAATTTCAAACTCTAGTTAAACTTACAACAAACTTGAAACATGAAAATTTTACATCTGATGGCCTAGAAAAACAAAATTTAAAAAACCCAGCCAATTGCACGCTTTCCCTAATATGAACTGCAAGCCTTTTTCTCAACGGAGCGCGGTTGCGCGCGGCGAAAAATTTAATTTTTTAAATTTTGTACTGAAAAACCGGTTTTTAGCTAAAGTTTCTTATTTTTCGCCAATTTTTTTCAATTTTTCGTCCATAGGAATTGTTAAACCGGCTAAAACACACATTTTAAGTATAAAAGCAGCAAGTTCTGACTAAAAATGAAAGAGGAGATTTTTAAGAAATTTTCTAAAAACGGAAATTTCTCAAATTGTTCGGTGTTTTAAGAATTTCTTTTGTTAAACTATTGTAAAGAATTCATTTTTGAGTGTTTCGAACTATTATCCGCCAAATTGCTCTACCGGTCAAAAAAGATATTGCGATTTTTAGAAGATTGCTTAATAATCTATCTCCTCTGGTAATCGGTTTCCAACCAGATTCAGGAAAATTCCGGAGCAAAAATGGCTAGATCTGGTTAGAAAATTGTCCGAATCAGGTTAGAAAATTAGCTTTTCCGGCCGGATCTGGTCAGAAAATCATCAGATCTGGTCGGAAAATAAAAATTTTCCGAATCTGGTTGGAATTTTACTCGAATCTGGTTGGAAAATGCGCGTTCCCGAATCTGGTTGGAAAATTGCCCGAAACTGGTTAGAAACCGATTACCAGAGTCCTCTTTCATTTTTTGTCGGAACTTGCTGCTTTTGTACTTAAAATGTGTATTTTAGCCGGCTTAACAATTCCTATGGACGAAAAATTGAAAAAATTGGCGAAAAATAAGCAAATTTTGCTAAAAACCGGTTTTTCAGTACAAAATTTAAAAAATAAACATTTTCACCGCGCTCCGCTGAGAAAAAGGCTTGCAGCTCAGAATATTCACTGGGGAGAGCGTGAACTGGAAAAAAAAGCTGTGAAATTTCAACGAAAATCGTTTTTTGCTAGTATTCTACAAATTCCTTTTTCTCAATAATTTGTAAAAAATTGAATTTAAGAATATTAGTTTTTTGTTATTGTTCCTTGTTGTTATTGTGTTTGGCAAATTGGCATTTCTTGGCGCCTATCGCTATGCAATTCTCGGCATTTGCGACGTACGTCAATATTGAAATTCTAGAAAACTTCTAAAAAAAAGAAAAACTGAAAAAAAAATTCTTTAAAACATCCAAAAACCCCAATTTTCCATCACAATTCGTCTCTTCCCCCTCTCTCCCCCTGAGCCCCGCCCCTTTCGCACATAAAGCATGGCGGGCGGCGGAACCCGGGAGATGTCGGCCGCTCGTTTACCCCCTACCACCTACTATCCGCATGTGTCTTCAGTCTTCAGTATGGGTCAAATATTGATCTGCAACTGAAAATGAAGAGATCGGGCGATGAAATTCTGTGATTACATCGCACGGCGGGGTGGGAAACGCAATACCTGACCGTCAGCCTCGATTCTGACACAAAGTTGTCTGAAGACTTTTATATAGTTCAGTTTTTATGAAAATGATTTTGAGGAATCGTTTGCAACACATCTGGGCACCTGTGTTAGAATATCCTTTTTTAATTTCCCAGTACTTCATCTTGTTGACTTGGCATTTTGTTGCAAAAGTATTGTCGAATTGAAAAAAAACAACTGACGCCTGCATTGAAAACGATTACAATTTTTTTTCGATGAAGATAGCACAAATTGAATGACAACAATGAAAATTGTCCAAAAATTTTATGGAAGTTCTCGGAAATCGAGAAACTCTGGTAGAACTAATTTAATGAAAATGAACAATATAGCTAGGCACCGCAACGCGAGGGGGCGGAGCCTAATTTTTTTTCTCTTGGGGGGTATCTGGCATGTTTGAAGGCGTAGAACTCGAGACTGGATGGACCGATTTTTATGAAATTTGGTTTCGTTATGTAAAAAAACACGTAGAATCGACTGATGTAAAGCGTTTGCGTTGAAAACCAACGACTTTCAAAATACTCGTGAAAAACAGAAATCGACATGAGAAATTTGGTCTGAAAAGTGTAATAAAAGTCGATGTCGCTTCTTTTTATGATTGTTCTAAATACTTTTTTAGATGTTGAATAAGATGCATTAAGCCATATTTAGCCAGCAGTTCCCCCATTTTTGCAGTAATCCATCAAACTTCAAGCAAAAATTGTGAATTTTTTTCAGCGATGACCCCATGTTTTTAATATCAAAATACTTAGATCAATTCTATGACTGTTCAGATATGCAATTTGATGACATTTGAAAAGTTTGAGCTAGCAAAAAACGCATCCAAAGATGACATGGTTCTAAAATTTAGACGTTTTTGCGAATTTTGACGGTAATGCAGGTCGATGTCGCAGATTTTCATTACATATTCAGATTCTACGAAAAATTTGCTACAATATACATGTTCGAGTTTACTTCTACCTGTTCCCCCATTTTTTTAATATCTCAATTTCCACCTAAAAATGTGAATAAAATGTGTTCAAATCGTTGTTTAGAAAAGAGAGGCAGCGCGTGCTTCATATCAGCTTTTCAATACGCCAACTGTCAGCGCGCGCATGGAGTAGTGGGTAGTGTTTCGGGACGGCGCGCCACCGGCCATGGTTCGATTCCTTGCTGTATCAAAAGTCTTTTTTCAGTGGTTTTCCAAACTTTGTGCAACTTTACGTAACGGTGTATGCACTGAAAACCAATGTTCTTACGACTTACAGTAAATTATTGATTTTTTTTAAATTAATTGTTTTTGAACATATAATTATACCTCTAATCTATAATGGATAGCGGAAGTGACGTTGAACCACCTCCTAAAGTATCGAAAACAGGTAAGAATACTATTTTGGACTCATTTATAATTAAATTTTCCAGAAATTTTGACACCTTCTCGAGCTCAGAAACTCAAGGAACTTCATCTCAGCATTCTGGCCCAATATGGAATCAACTCAGAATTTGAAGTCAGTCGTCCAATGGATGTTGTAAACAACGAAGTAGTCTGTTCCTCGATGGCGCTGAACGTATCAAAGATGGATGTGTTCACGAAGTCGTTGTTAGGATTGGATGGAAACGAGCAATGTGATCTTTCCAAATTCAGAAGAAGGTTGACTTGGATCGAAAATCAGCACAAGATCAATCAAAGAAGGAATAAGGATAAGTCTTTTGAATTTTTCGATCGATCGATGACGGAACATTCCAATTTTCTTGATTTTTTCTTTTTATTATTAGTTTCTGATTCCTTTCCTTCGTTAGTTCAGTAGTTTGTTTTGTAGTTCTTTGTTTTCTGGTGATTTTCAGGTAGAAAAGTGACGAGCGATGCGAACAACCGAAGTTTCAATGGCATTCGCTTTTTAAATCATCTGTTTCTCAAAAATCCAGAGTCTATAATTTTTTAAACAAAATTTCAATTTATAAAACACGAATGCCATCATCGATCGTTCTTCTCTGCTTCTGATCGCTCGCATCGCTCGATACTTCACTGATTTCCGTGTTTTCTACCTGAAAATCAGTAAAATTTAATCATAGTCGTAATAAAAATTGTTTCTCAAACTCATTCTGTTTTTTTACATCTCCATTTTACTATATTTCGACATGCCGGCTGACGAAAACCAATTGAAACTCTTCACAGCGCTATGAAAAACATCACAGCAATAAATCGGGAATTTTCTGCGCCGCACGTTTGCAAAAGGCGTCGCCCCGCCCACCTTGCCCCGCCCACTTTTCCGTGCCCACTGCAACCCCCTCAGAGAAAATGGATGAAAAAGGGGGTTACAAAAAAGGGTGTATCTCGAAAACGGATGAACATTTTCGAAAAAAAATTCGGAATTATACTAATATTGATATGGTGAATACGATAATATAAACAATTCTCAGGAAAAATGAGTTTGAAAAAATCGTTGTGGTGCCTAAATATAGCGAAAATATTGTTCCAATCATTTTTTGACAAACTCCATTACCTTTGTTGTTTTTTCAAAATTTTGAATTTCGTCTCATAGTCAGTTTTACAGAGCTAAGAAAATAACATCAGCTATACTTCTAACGTTTCACGATAAATCTTCTCTAGGAAAACTTTATAACAATTTATCAAAGTATTCAGTTATATCCGATTATCACTTCTCGAAGGTTCCTCTTCATATACTCCAACTCGGGGGCTTCTACATCTCAAGAAGTCGAAGAATTCTGAAAAAAATTTAGATTATTAATGAACTGATAATTCAAAAACAAAAAATTCACAGTTTCATAATGACCATAAGTTCCTAGAGTTTTCTTTTATTGTAGTTCGTCCATGTTCAATTCTTTTTTATCCCATAGTTCAGGAGCCTCAGCTGCTCAGCTGCTAGCAACGCGATGTGTCCAACAATGGGCCCATAAGTTCAATTCCTCGAGGGGTGCATACGGACAACATTTTCAGAGCAATTTTTTTCGTGTCCCCCTTCCTTTAAGCTTCAACTAACTTCAACATTTACCTGTAATAGCATTTCTATAATAATCCACAAAATACAAAGTTGGCAACGGGTCGACAGCTGGATAGAGGGCATAGACAAAAGTTATTGGCGCCGATAAAAATTGACAATTTATCTCAAAAATTGGAAGGATGAAGATGGTCCCGAATGGAATGAATAGAAGGAATACAGGAATTACTGTCTGAAAATTCGGAAGTTTTAAAGCAAAATTCGGAGAATCCATTTTAAGCGTATCATCTCGTTTGAATAAAATTGTACAATAAAGTTGCCAAATAAAAAAATTGAAGCTCTATTTTTGTTCAGTATACTCTGAAAATTTCAGACCAATGTAAACTTTCTGGACTAAATTCGTAGCGCTAAAATGTTGCCTTTTTTTTGAACTAAAAGTTATTAAAGTAAATTATGTTTTCACTACCCCTATTTTCTACCGTTCTTAATTTCTCCCTTCCTTGAAACATTAACCCACCTGAGCAACCAATGCCTTATACAACTGCATTTGTAAATTCTTCGAGTACCCCGTCTCTCCTTGTTTCAACAGCGCTCTAATGATAAACCAACTCTTCCCACCAGCAAATATCACAACCATAAATGGAATCGTCATAACACCCAAAAACAGGCCAAATCCAATGAAACTTCTCTCACTGACTATTCTTGTCCCATTTTTGTCCAATGGATAGAATGCAGCACCCGCATAGGCGCAGTTGTCAATTTCCAAGTCGAAAAAGTCTTTGACTGTTTGTCTGAAATTTGTGGATTTTGTAAGAAATAAGCTTCTTTTAAGCTACTAGAGCTACTAGAAGGACTTGTTAAATCAATCTCTTGAAACGGAGAAATTTAGAATTTCAGAAGATCGAAAGCAAAAAGTTCAAATCTCCTTTATTGATTTTTATAAACTCTTGAGGAGTTGAAGGAATTTTATAAGGTACCGGCTGAGCTACGCGGTCGCAGCTAGAGCCTGCCTGCAGAGGAATGTTGCGGTAGGAAGTAAAATGTGTGAACACCGATTACTGTACACCGTCCCGCAAAAATGCACAAGGTTTCATTTAAAAAGTTCGCTTCTACTTTTTTCCGATGGCTGAGTAACAAACGTATTATATGAAAGACATACGTTGATTTAAAAAAGTAGTTTAATCAGAATGACAAAGTTCACATTTACAAATTTCTTGAAACATTAGTAATTGACGAAGCTGTCAAAAACATGTCTTTCACCTTATATATTCTGTCTTTATTGGATCCATTGAAAACACTGTAAAACACACTGAAAACCAGGCGGCTCCTCCGATGAATGGAATGAGAAACCAGAAAATGAGACATTGGGTTTGGAAGAATCGAAGACGGCCATTCCTGGAAATTTCGAAATTGCCAACCGGTCAGATTAATTACTAAATTTGGTGGAGAAAAAGTTATATGAACGCAGTTACGAAGCATCTAATATTGAGCTATGAAAATGTCGTAAAACAGAAAAAAATAGTTAAATTTTGAAAACAGAAATCTGGTTTTGGAAAAAAAAAGCTGTCGGAAGCAGGGCCGCGGCTTTTTTTGTTAAGATACTTGTGAGATGAGCAGGATTTGACAATCTAGCGGTCCTAGAAATTTTTGGTTAACTAAACGGCCCCAGCCGCGATCGGCCGCAGCCCTCTTTCCCACAGCCTGGAGCAAGAACATTTTACCTCTCCAAAGCAAACAGTCTGTAAATAAAATGAACTGCGATTCCATAAATTGTCATTCCGAAGCATCCACACATGAGACCTGGAAAAAGTCACCGTTAGAAGAACATAATGTTAGTAGTTGTTTATACGATTGTGGTAGTTTATGGTATCCAAATCGTAAATTATATATTTTTAGTTCAAAATGATCCATTACGGATGGCGGAAGAATCAAATAGTTCTTGGGATAAAACAAAAAATTTTAGAATATATCAAACAAGTGTATACCCTCAATTTTGTAGTTGACGCCTTTTTTGTACAAGTTTATCCAAATAAGATGTACTGAAAACTATTTGGAATTGATTAACTTTGACCAGTACTGAAAGTTTTTTCCTGTTTCGTGATCACTGGAAACTTCATTTATCAGTGAATAACTAATCCTCGTGCTAGTCCTCCCCTAAAAAGCGTTCAAACATTTCTCAAGCGTGCTAGCTTGTAAGTCAAGTTTTAAAAAAAGAGCTATGGAAACATAAGTCAAAAAATGAGTGATTTGCTTTGAACCAGATTACCGTAAAACCTGTATTAGAAGGGCCGGCCCTTCTATTTTTCGTGGGGTCCCTAGGGCTGCACTTCAATGGAGCCCTTTAATTAGAGGGGGCACTTGTATTTTTCGTGAGGTTTTTGAGCAGGAAATTTCTATTAGAAGAACAGTGTTTTTCGGGGAAAATGTTGTTTTTTCTACTTAAAATTCTTGAAAATTATTTTATAACGAAACAAAAACACCTATATTTTTATGAAAACAAAAAGCAACAACAGAAAATCAATTCTTCAGTTGGTTTTTTTAATTTGACTTCATAAGACTTCCATCTTCGGACACATTGACTAGAAACGCATAAATTTTCTGCAATTTAGCAAAGGGGAACTTCAATTAGAGGGGGGTGCTTCAAATAGAGGGGCCCTTCAATTAGAGGGAGCACTTCTATTTTTCGTGAGGCCTCTAGGGAGGCACTTCAATTAGAGGGGCCCTTCAATTTCAGTGGCCTTTCTAATACAGGTTTACCGGTATCAGTTATCAGGCGTATTACCACACAAAACATGATGCCTTCCTTGGTTAGCTTCTAAAGATTCTTACAATTTTTCTATTCGATCAGTCTTTGAGGAAGTGAAAACCTTCTAAAATTTTTGAATGTTCTGGAACTTAAGAAACAGGAGTTTTTAATTTTTGTTTGGCAACAAAACTTGTTTTTAATCTTAAAAATTTGTCTGTTTCAATAAGTTTTCAAATACTTTATAAATGTAGAATAGGATGTTATGATAAATATTGTATGACGACTGTTTAACTTTTTCCTCACAAGTTTCTGAAAAAAACATGTAGCTTACAATACTCTGAAAATATTAAAATTTTGTTTTTCAGAGCTAAGAAATTACTAAGAAAAATGTCAAAATTGTATTGCTAGCAATCACATCCAAACATCATTTTTAAAATTAATTGGGATAAATGGAATTTTTGAAACTGTAACTCTAATTGAAAAATTCTATTTTGATTCTGATCACCAAAACAACATTTTTGTGTTTTGGTCTTGATGTATTACGCTGATGAACGCTCCAAAAAACCCTCAAAAAATCAATCGTTTAACTTACAAATCAATATCTCTGCCATCCACGCCGGAATTCCACGACTACGGTAGTCCATGACCATGAAGAATGCACTTTTGTAGGTGTGAATGTTCTGAAAGCTTATCTTTTCCATATACACTGCGCGCCATAATTATGGAGCCACTTCAATTTTTGTAATTTTTTTGATATCCTTGAAAGTTTCAGAATCATTTCCGATGGCAATAAATATCATTTTTGAATTTGAAAATGTAGAGAACATTCAATTTCAGATAGTGAAGCAACGGTTTGAAAAAATGGAAAAATGTCAAAAAATTCAATTTTTCACTGCGCCATAATTATGGAGCCACTTCAAAAATCTTGCCATCATAACGATTTCTTCACTGTAAAAAGCAGATATTCTAATTTTCCATCAAAAATTGATATTTCCAAAGCAATTTCTAAACTAATTCCAGTAGAAAAATTTTCTGTTATAAATGGTTTTGGAAAAATTTTTTACAAAAAATGGAAGGTTCGCAAAAAACAGTTTTTGACTTTTCCAAATTTTTACAGGATAAGTTATGTCAAATTGTTTATAAGAACCCGTAAAACATTATCAAATGCATCATTTAGTTTTTCAAAACATGTAAAGTACTGATCAAAGGGTGCAAATGTAGATATATGAGTTTATTGAAGCCAACTTCAGGTAATTCGAAAATTTAGTAAGTATGACGGGATACATTTGAAACTTCCCACATTTGTTAACCATAAATGGAGCTTTAATTTCTTAATTGACCAGTTTTTATCATGACTCCATCCAAAAAAGCTATTCTGCTCCGACTTGTCGCGAACATTACCTCAGAACTCTCATCTGCAGTTTTCGCTTCTTCGGTTTCCAGAGCTGTATCTCATTTGTATGAATCTGTTCAAAAAAGTTGTCAACTATAAAAATGAAGCTCTTTATTTGTTTTATATTTCTAGAAATTTACAACCCTATACGACAATGTATG